ACATTGTCCCATCAGGGCCGGATTTACAAGTAAAAAGCCTCGACTTTCAAGGGACCTCAAACATTTGTACAAAAAAGAAAATTGAAGTCAGATTTTGTAATAAGCATTTTTTTACAAACTAACAAAATGTACTTCACTGTTTATTTTGTGTAGTATTTCATTAATTTTTTTCTAAGAATTAACATAATATCTTTTTTAAAAAAATTGATAAAACCAATTTAAAAAAAAAAAGATTTTTAATGGAATGGGTATAAAAATTTAATTAAACTTAGTTATAAAACAGAAGACTAGTAAAACCTCACGTCTTTTTCTTCCAGTATCCGTATTAAATCAGTCATAATCTGATTTAATTCTTATCTTTTTATGATTGACTTCTAAAATTGTGAAGGGTTGGCCTTACAGAGTTCGGCTTAGGGCTTCGAAATGCTTAAATCCGGTCCTGTATCCTACACAAAATTACTGGCATTTTAAACTTTAACAAAATGTTTTAAAATGACAGAATAACTTGTTCGTGAAAGCTGGACAATCGGGAAAGTGCCAATTCTTAACAGTCTAATCCACTCTCTCAGAATTTGGAGCTCATAAATATAACCGATCAATTTCCGAATAATCATCTGTTTTTCCCGTTTTTCATGTGGGAATAGACGAAAACTTATATCAGGCTCTCGTAAGGCTTTGAAATTGCAATTTAGAACCAACAGTAAGCATTGCTTTTTCTATCTCCTTTCATCTTTACTGCTGATAATACACAAGAATGAATCAAACGACCCAGATAGAATAGTTTTGTTTTTAAACACCAGAGGGTGAGCATCCGGTGAAAAATGCGAATTGGGTAGGCCTGGCATTTTTAAGTGAAAATTTTGCGTGAAAAATAAAATGTTTTGGCAATGTGTTTTATGTTACTCTATAGAGAATTATGTGCTCTACAAAATAGTGTGTTTAGTATTTTTGTGCTGATATACTTTTTGTTCTTTTCGGATCAATAAAATGGAGTGTCAAGTTGAATAATATATGAAGTGTTATTTAACATTATGAATTCCTTTTTTCTCTAAATACATTTTATTGAAGAGTTGAATTCTAAATGCAATGTTTTCTGCTTTAAAAAAATATTGTGGCAATATTGGCACTGTAAGTGGCTGTATTTTGAAGTTGAATTTATGTAAAGCCGTAATGTTTAATGCACCAAAGTGCAAGTCACGTGACTTTTGGTGCATAAAATGTAACAGATTATATTTACATCATTTTGATATTCCCAAGAATTTGTAACCTAGTGAGTTTTTATCATTTTATTGTAAAATTGAAATAAATTCATTCACTAGAAAAAGTGCTTTTTACCTCTCCTGAAAAGTTTGTTTTTTGGCATTGCATGCTTCATATATTTGTTTTATTAAGATTGATCTTTTTCATACACATCTACTTCTTATGTTTTTTAAAGTTTATGTATTAGCTCTGTTGTTTAGGAAGCCACATTCATCTTGAGGTTTTTTAGTTAGGAATATGCATTTTGAGCTTTTCTTTCTTTCTTTAACTAATATATATGTTCTAAAAAATCGTTTTATTAATTTGTTTCCCTGAAAAACATTATTTAATTTGTTAAATTTTTTAAATGTATTTTCAATAAGACATATAGATTAAATTTATACAAAATAATTTTTATTGTAGATTAATCTTCCTTTTATTTATCACTTAATTGTTATATTTTATTTCCATTAAAAAGCTTTTACTTTTATTTAATATTTATATAAATGACATATTACCAAATTATATGATGTCTATTTTAAGTTTATATTTTATATATTTAACTAATAACAAAAAATTTTTTTTGTGTATAGAACCACATGTTGTTGTTTAACTCTACATTTTGCAGTTTTTAATAATAGATTGTGTTAAACACATTCTACTTGGGACAGTAAACAGATGTGTAAAATTCCAAGTGGTTACATAAAATAACAGTTTTAGTTGGTCTAGTTTTCATATCCCGTTTTCTGAAGATTATGGTTTCACTGTTAGTCTGTACCCACAGTTTATAATACAGATATTATTTTTATTAACTCTAAAATGTGAAAACTGACATTTTTTTAATTTTTTTTTATTTTTGGTGCTTATACTTGATAATGTCCATTTTATTAGTTTTTCTGCTGTCATATCATAATAAAAAATATATAAAAATATCATTTTTTAAGACAAATTAATATAGAACAAAATAAAATTTTTTTTACTTAACAGGCTGCAATGAACAAAATCAACTTTCAGATTCTGAAAATAAGAAGTCTTTGCTGTATGAAAGTAAAGTTCCTAATTATTCAAGGATACATACAGTGAATGATTCAAATGAAGAACCAGAAGTGTGTTTTCTTTCAAAAATAAGTAATGAAAATAATAAAAGTAATGGACTTCAAATGAATGATGCTTCTACTAAATATAAGAGAATTAGATATTCAGGTTTAAATGGAAGAACAAAGTTTTTAACTGCTCAAGAGGTAACCATTTGCTTTTGAAATTATTAATTAATAGTATAGAATTTCATTTTCAAAGAAGAAAAAATCCTTGTGACTGTAAAGGAGAGTATGCTTAACTGTGATATAAGTTGAATATTAAAAATAACAGGAAATACACACACAAATTTAACCATTTTTAAAATGAAAGCAATCTTATTTTTATCCCTTAATAATCCTTTGTTTTAATCGTAGATAATTAGTTTTCCATTTCCAATATTACAGATAAAATATTTACATAATTATAATTGAATAAAGTTATTTGAATTTCTAATAGTTTGTACAATGAAATTTTATCTGAAAATTTTGGATAAATAGAAAATAATATAGATCAGCCTAGAAAATAATTTGATATAAGTATAAATTACAGCATACTATAATTGGAAATTGTGAAATTTACTAATTCTCAATAAAAATTTGATTTAGAAAAATGCAGTGAAAATGCAGCTGTCTCAGTAGTGTGAACATTATGTATTTAAAAAATTTTATGTATAGAAATTAGGATTTTGATTAAGATAAAATTACCATAGAACATTATATCTTAGTTGATAATCATAACACACATTAACTTATAAAACAGTTTAAACCATGAATTTTAATAGCTTTTAGTCTTTTTGATATTGAATTTGTTTTTCATTTTTTTTGTATTTTCAGTGTTTTGGTTTTTCATTTTTTGAAAGATAGAAAAATCTTTCAAAAAATAATATTCATAAAAGTATAATATTAATAATTTTTTCTTTTAGTTATGCAAAATACATTTATAAATTTTAAAAAATTATTTGCATATAATTATATGAATATATATATTATTAAAATTAATAATATTTTTGCTGACGGAATGTACATTTATACCAGTATTTCTGTAATAATGAATACCTCACATACAAAGTGCGATCAAAAAGTAGTGGGAATTAGCATGTAAAATAAAAAATATATCACAAAGATAATGTTTTTTGTAATTTATATATGATCAGTTTCATGTGTTCATATGATAGTAATTATAGATCTATTGCAGACTTACATGTGTAAGAGTTTGTATTTTCATAAAAAGATTCAAATAATGAAACTTTTTCAAAATTTGTCATGGAAGATTAGAAAAACAGAGAATATGCAGCAATTTTTGTGTTGAATTGGGGAAATGTCAGAAACCAAGTTTTTATAATGAGCTAAGAGATAACAGACGAGTGGATAATGAGAGATGAGATTAGAAAAGGGTATGACTGAAAATTTAACATTGGCATTTTGTTGATGACATTGTTTGATATGAAGACTAGATTGTTTTTTATGAATTTATTCCTGAGAATTAAACAATAAACACATTTTATTTTAACATTTTATGGTAATTATGTGAAGCAGTTTGCCTGAAACAATCTAAAAAAGGCGACAGAAAAATTGATACTCCATCACAATAGTGCTAGTTGGCATACAGTGTTAGTCATCACTACATCCGATGAAACAGGAAGCTGCTATTCTGCAACAATCCTAATCTACTAATTTGTATTCTAATTGTTTTTTCTTTATCCAAGTTTGAAAAAGATCTTTCAAAAATCAATAGTTTGAGTCAATAGAACTCACACAAGATATAGTGAAAAAACTTTTAGTCTCTAAATAAACTGGTTTTTCTAAATTTAGAAAAATCAGTTTATTTTTTATTACAGTAATTAGTTTAAAAAATATTTGATAAACTTTTATATTCTAACACAGTTTGAATTTTCTTAACCTATTCCCAAAACTTTATGAACACACTTTGTACTGTACATTTCAATAAATGTAGATATTACTGAATAAATGCCACATTTTTTAAAATGTGTACCAAAAGTGATTGGGCTGTTTATTTAATCTGGGTTGAATTAACAAAATTAATCAATTTTTAATAATNAGATAGTTAAGACAGATTTAACTTTGGAATAATCTATTTGTGAACTGATTTTATTATATTTTATATTATTAAATTGATTACAAAATGTTCATAAAAATATATGTAATCATTTATGTAGAGTATTCGACTTCATGAAAAAGAACAATACAAATTATTATTACAGCAGCATACGTCGGAATCATTGTTTAATTCGTCGAAAGTGATAAATAATATGAAAGATGCACAAGTTCAAAGTGACTTAAGGTATCTAGAATTTTATTTATTAAGAAAATAGATTTTTTGAGAATAAAAACAAATCTTTATGTGAAGGCTGTTAAAACATTATTATTTTTATTAATTTTTTATTTTCACGTATAAAATATCACATTTAATTAAATATGAATAAAACTATTACCTTTCAGTTATGGCAAACCACAACAGAAAGCAAATAAACAGATGTCATTCAAATTTTCATCACCTGTGAGAAGAGAGAAATTAAGCAAAGAATCAACTTATGATTTAATAGAATTATTACATTCAATTCATAATGTTCAACATTCAAGTGTAAAGAAAACATCCACATCAAAAGAGTATCTTCCAATATTGAAATTTGGAAATGACACTAGTACTTTGAACAAATATTCTTTAATGAAAGCAAACAGAGAGAAACCTTCACCTATTAAAAGTAATAAATTAAAAATAATTTATAATATTTAACATTATATATAATATTAAATAATCCTTCTTAGAATAAGTGTTTTTTCATAAACACCCCTTGTTTTCACTGTAATATTATGCAAATGCACATTTTGTATTTATAGTTTTTAATATAAATGATTAATTCTAGCAGCAAAATAAATAATTATTTTCTTCTGTAGAAATAAAATATTGATGTAATTCTGATATCTGTCTAAGTGGATTGGAAGTAAATTATGCAATAATGTTATTAATTGAAAACATTATTGACAGTGACTTAAATTCAGTAACTAGAAAAAGTTATTTTCAATTATAAATGATTAGAATTTATATCAGACTCAGAAAAATTAGATTAAATCAATATTATTAAATATTAAAAATTATAAATATATTCGAACCATATGGGCATATCTGGCAAAGAATTCCCCTATCCGTACGAGTCCTGGTTCGAAGCTGATCCTAATCAGGATTTGTCAAGAACAATTTGGCCGGGATATCATTCCTTAATACAGTATCTATATTAGTCGGTATCTTGAGGGTCAGATCAGATCGAAATAAAGAAAATTGAGGTCAGTCTTGCAACCTTTTATACGTATAGTAGTTTATCTGTAGTCTTATCGTATCCAGTTCCGCTATTTTTCTAAAATAAAATACAAATATTTATATTTAATAATACTTTTTTTGAATTTTTAAAATTAAAACATGAGCTACTTTTCTGNTAAAAACATTAATAGAAAAATAAAAAACAGCCAACATAACAAAATTAACTATACTTTATGGTAAATAATGATGTGATGTAATGGTACAATGTAAGATGCATCATGAATACTGCAAGGAATCATTACATTGCTGAAACTCAATGAACAATGGCTAAAACAATAGGCACAGCTCTGGTTTCTGCTGTGATGCCAAAAATATGGATTATTCTCCATGGATATTAAATTATGGATTATGTATTACACTCAAATATAATTTACTTCTATTCTGTGTGTGATCTATACTTGCATGGGTGGAATGGAAACTCACAGCCAAACTTATTAGAGACAAAAGATCAATTGCTGATGTTGAGCAAAAATTGTATGTTGCTCATTTGTGCTTTACGAAAGTATGTGAGCCAATGATCCTATATATTCAACTAGAAAACATTGCTTTATCGCTCAAAGAGCACTTCCACACAAAGAAAGCTGAACAAAAAATACAGATGCTACAATCTTCCTGATATATTCAGACAATCTCAGAGGCAGTTCTGTACTACAATTATCCAAACATTGCAGTTCATCATATTGCAGCTTGGACCAAAATTTATCCCAACTGCAAGGAGAGACTACAGACTCATAGCTACCATCATGGCTGCCATAACACATATTCAACTACAGTCTAGATGGAGCTTTCAGTATTCACAAAAATTGTTGCCCAATGACCCCATATGTTTGTGATGTTACCTAAAAACAGATGGTGTATCAGACATTTATGAATAATATGGATCTGGGGTTATTCATCTTGGGCACAGAATGAAAGTTTGTGATATTCAAGAATAATGATTTCCTGGATAGAGCTAAAGACTTCCTTCTACAATCAGGGTTGGTGTACTAAATAAAGATCTGATACTGACAGTTCTAAGAAGAGCACAAAGGGTGGTGGCATTACTGGGTGTTCTATCTTCCTTAACAGGACTGCTTTCTCCCCCCTCCAAAAAATGTAGTATGTCCTAGATTACTCTTTAGAGGTCAAAACACAGAAGCCATATGACCAATATGAGCTTAGTCAACAAATGCTCACATCCAACAAATTATTTGGAAAGAGCACTTGCTAAGAAACTTAGCTCTCTTCTTCCTTCCTATGCCACACTTTGTGGTTACCTGTACATTTGAAGCAAGATCAATTCTCTTTACCACTCTTGCATTGCTCCCTCACCCAAGCATATTGTTTTTACAAAATTGACATAATATTGTACTTTTCATTACTGCAATTTGAAACCATTATGCTAGCAAATGCCATGCTTGTTAGGAAGGGTTTCCTTGACTCCACAAGTACTGGATTTACATGAGGCACTACTGTTCATTACTGAAAATAATCACTTTCATTTTGACAGCAGCATCTAATACAAATCAAGGCATGCCAATGGGCTCACCTCTGTTACACTAGCTGAACTTATTATGAGGAACATTGAAACAAAATTTTTAAACTTTCCACTGGCTATACAATACTCTCTCTTTTACCTAAAATATGTGGACTATGTCTTAATAGCTTGGGAAGGTTTGGAAGAGGAACTATCAACATTTGTAGAAATGTTGTCCTCTGTTTACTCTTCTGTTTCATTTACCATAGAATATGAGGATGATGCTAAAATTTTGTTCTTGGATCTACATATATACAAATTCCCAGGTGGAATTGTTTTCTGTGTTCCATAAATTCAACACCTTGCCTCGTATAATTCCATCAATGACCTTCCAACTCCCTAGTACGTAAATTCTGCTATGACTCTTGTATGCAGGAAATTTGTTTTCCCCTCTAGTCAGGTAGCAGTTGACAATGCATTGTGGTTAGTATCAGCTTCAGTATGTAAGGTGGGTTATAATTCCCACCTTAAATACTACACCTGCAAAATTCAAATATTTTGTTAACTGCATAAAAAGAACACTTTCTGCTATCCACTTTGAACCAAAAATGACTATGAGCCTGCAATACCATACTCAGTGTTGTTGTCATTAGATACAACACATGCATTCAGAAAATTCAGGGAAAAATGGGGTTGTAAGGTTTACACAAAAACCTTACAGATCACAGCTATTTTCTTTTTCATACATATTATCATACATTTTCAGTTTAGAACAGCTTAGACCAAGTTAATTGAAACAAAGCATTGGACACATTCAGTGTACTCAAAAGGTAACAGTTGAGCAGTGAAATGGAACATATTTGTAATTTCTTGAAAATGGAATAATACTTATAATTGTCTTGAAAAATCATTTAATCTGAATAACAAGTTGACAATATGATGCCTGAAACAATTATCAAGATGATCTTTATCTTACAGTCAGATATGCTTAAGTATAGATATGATTATCAAATAATAATAGTCAATCTTTATACAGTTGTTGAGTGCTCTGAATGTAGCCATTGCTTATTATATGATTACTTTTTAAAGAATTCTAGTTACTTTTTCAGCTATTTTCAGTCTCACCTGCCACTTGCAGCCTTGCAAATAATAATCTTGATCAAGAAATAACATTTATTATTTAAGTTTTTAATATGTAAATCATACATGTATATCCATGTAGAATAGTTAGTAATTTCATGATTAAACATTTTCAGATGATAGAAATGTATAATAGTTGATAACTTTCCACTTCGTTATTAACTTCAAAAACTGGAAAAATTACATACTTATAAATATATAATTATGATAAGACATTACTACATTACTAACATTTCTGTTAACACAAAAAAGAAAATTTATGATGTTTTGTATGTATAGTAATGTTACTCTTCTAAGTTTTTTAGTGATTTCATAACAATTTTAAAACAAGACCTAATTTAAGTAATTGTATATACAGTAAGACCATGCTTAACATGGGGGAATGCGTTTCTAGACGACAAAGTGCTAAATGAAACAGCATTAAATGAGGTCATTTTAACATAGAGTAAATAGGGAAAGGGGAACACGTGACCAAAAATAAACAAATTTTACTTTAATTTTAAGTTAGTTTTATGTTAATTTGCATAGTAATATATGTTAAATAACACACAAACATATGCACACAGAAATGTAAAGTTCATTTTTTGTGGGTTTTTCTGAAATTCTTGAATGTTTTGCGATGAACTTGTCTAGTGATGATCATTTGTTGTTTTTTTTGTTTTTTATTAAGCAAATGTCGATAGCAGGAGATCGCATTCAAAACACCTCATTTTTATTTTGCTTTTGCACTCCTTTCAAAATCTGGATCATTCACTACAATTTGATCAATGATATTGGCTATGGCTACCAAACTTTTACTAAGGAAATCTGTAGAGAAATTCTTTGGGTTCTTTGTTTTCAGAATCACTATTTTCCAGTTGCACATGAATTCCTTGTTCTGACTTGTTGTCATTGGTAAGGCTTTCACCAGAAACCTGCGGTAACTGCTCAATATCCTGCTCGTCTATCTCTCCTAGTCCTGCTATATTGATTAGGTTGAGTTTGGTCAACCTAACGATACAGTGATAGGCTCTTCTCATTGAGAATTCTTGGATACCTTCAGTCATAACTTCTTCCACACTTTGTTCATGTATTTATCAGTTAATTCTTGCTAAGTGAAGTTGATATTGCCTATGGCATCCATGATGTTATATTTTTTCAAAAGTTGCACCAAACTGACATAGATTTAAGGAAAGTACAGTGCTACGATGAATTGCCACCTTTTGCTGATTTGTTTATGTTTGGAAATAATGAAATGCTGTGATAATTTGAATCAGCATAAATTTTGAGCTTTTTTTAGGCTTTGAGTAGACTGTGTTATATCGAATCAGTGTTAATCAAGGCAGCGTTAAGCGGGGTCTTACTGTATTATTATTTATAACAGAGATAATACAAATTATATTTTATTGAATTTATTTTATTTTAGATGATGATGATGATAGTGTGATCATAACAAAGGTAGAGGTTATAAAACCACCACTCTCTAAAATGTAAGATATATACAAATAAATATACATAATTTTTACAAAGTATTTGTTTATATTTAATATAAAAATACAGAAGTTATAAAATGATAAGGTATTAAATTTTGTTACAGCCAATTCCCAGCAAGGCAAAAAGAGAACCATTTTTTTAATGGAAATTGGCTGAAAGAACTGTAAGTTTTGAAAGTTTGTTTTTAGAATTTCATGATTATGTGGTCAATTATGTGCTTAGAAGAATATTTTTGTAGTAGACAGTCAATAGAAAGGCGAGATGAAGAAGAGAAGAAGAAGATAAGATATCAAGAAGAATTAACGCGATCAATTCGAGAGAAGGTAAAACATTGTTCTTAAGAAATTTCAAACTTTGCTTATACTTAGTTTATAACAAGTTTCTTTTTCTTATGCAATTTAGAGGGAAGCAAAGTATGCAATTGCAGAGGAAAAGGTTTGTTAAATTATAACTCTTTTTTGTGTATTAAGGAAAAAATTTTGAAATAATTATTTATATTAGATGAAGGAAATTTTTAAGAGGAAAGGAACAGCAGTTTTAGAAGAAAAACCTCTTGAAGATGAAGATCAGTTAGATGGTTTTCCAGGTAAAAGTATAAACTAATAATTAGTTTTTGAAAAGTTAGTTTTGTTCTCAATCATATATTATTATATCAGAATTAACATCTGAAATGGATGTGGAAGTTGATGATGCTTTAAGGCCAAATCCTCCGGATGAAGTCTTAGCTGAAGGTTTTCGTCTGTCCGTTGCACGCAGAGATATGGAGACACTTGCGGGACTTAATTGGCTTAATGATGAAGTGCGTTGTTTTATCTATAGTAATTTGTATATTCTTATTTGAAATCATTTTCTTATTTTTATTTTTACATTTTATAGATAATTAATTTCTACATGAATTTGCTTATGGAAAGAAGCAAATTGGATAATTTTCCAACTGTATATGCCTTTAATACATTCTTCTATACCAAATTGTTAAACAGTGGTCACAGTGCATTGAAAAGATGGACGAGAAAAGTTGACATTTTTGAATATGACATGTTGCTTATTCCCGTTCATATGGGAATGCACTGGTGTTTAGCTGTAAGTAATTTAAGTGTTCTTCTTTTTAATACTTTTTAGTTGTAAATGGAATTAAAACAACAAATTGAAATTTATTCTGTAAAATATAATTTTAAATTAATTTTGAAAACATTTTATAAACCAATTTCACTAAAATTTAGATAGTTCAAAAAATTTTTCAATCTAATTTAAATAATTGTAATGAATTTATCTAAATTAAGAATTTTTATAGGTTATTGACTTCCGACATAAAAAAATTCAGTATTATGATTCTATGGGAGGGCAAAATGACGAGTGTTTAAATGCACTAAGGTAAGTTTTTCAGGAACTGATTATTATTTAAGATTGAAAATTTTTAATATTAACTATATATACCATATTGAATGTTTAACAATTCATAAAATCATGATTAATAATTTGTATGCACTCATAACATACTAAAAACTTTGTGAAAGAATATTATCATACCAAAATATGTAAATGTAAAATATTGTTTTTATTTTCTGAATTCAGTAAATAAAATATGTGATATGTAATAAACATCCTGAAGTCTAATGCATTAATACAAAGCCAAAAGATTGCCATAATTAATCGGGCTATTATTTTGCTATTATTAGTAATTAGATATTGAGTAACTTGTTATTAGAGGTTGATGTTAGGTGCCATCTCTAGGTGTTTGGCACCTAATCTACTTCTAATGCCAAATTACTCAATATCTAATTATTAATAATAGCCCGATTAGTTACGGTGATCATTTGGTTTAGTAAAATATGGTATTAATTTATTATTGCAATTATTATTTGCTACTTTAATTTTTATTTATTTATGAAAGTTTTATTAATTTATTCTTTTTGTTATATATCCTAATTGCTTCACTAATAATTATATTGTTATGATGATAATATTTATTCTAATGTGATACTGACTAGAATGTACTGATAACAATAATAGTGTTGATTTTGTACACTGACATATTATATTAGTGGCCATGGAAATTGCATCATTATTCAAATTTTATAAAAATACATTTATTTTTTTAATTAAAGTATCATTTTGGTGCCAATATACAAGAAACTGAAAAAGATTGACATCAATGACAACATAAACATGAGAGTGCCTTTCGTTGCTGACAGTCTATTGCAACAATGCTTCTGGTGATTGTATCATCTATTATCAGAAAATCCATGTAATACTTATTCGCTTGAGAATTGGCTGACTTGTGAATGAATACCTTTTGAAGGGCACAAAGACCAGCTGATATGCCAGAAGTGCAACTGCAATTTAAGTGTGAAACACATATTGTGAAGATGCTCTGTATTTGAAAGGACTCGGATTTTGTTTTAAAAAATGCACATTTGTCAAGAATTTTGATCCAGAGACCAAATCTTGACATTATACTGAACTTTCTGAAAGTCATTAATGTGTATAAAGAGATCTGGTTATTAATTTTTTATTTTACTTATAAATACCATATTTGTTAGTTACATACCAAGACTGCCGAAAATCTATTGGGCTAGTTTTATGCTATTTATTAAATAAATTACGTAATCAATTTGGCACTAGAGGTAAGCGTTAGGCGCCATCTCTTATTAATATTAATAATTATAAATAANATTTACTGTTATTTATTTTCTCTGCGTTATTTTAAATTAAAACATTTCCTTTTGTTTTACTATTGATTATTTAAACAAATATTCTAAACCCGATATATAACATAATAACCGTCGATGGTTAAGTAGTTAGCTTATATACGCTGGAAGAGGAGATCGGACCGGAGGTCCGGATAGCGTAACTGGCAACGCATCTGCACGGTAAGCAGGAGTTGTGGGTTCGAGTCCCGCTCCGGGCCGATTTTTTCTCCCAGCGGTTCTAAATTATTTAAATTAATTAATTTATTTATAATTATTAATATTAATAAGAGATGGCGCCTAACGCTTACCTCTAGTGCCAAATTGATTACGTAATTTATTCAATAAATAGCATAAAACTAGCCCGATAGATTTTCGGCAGTCTTGGTATGTAGCTTTATTATATCGGGTTTGGTGATGTTTATATATTTGTTAGTTATTTATTCAGTTCTATACACTTATTATTGTTTGTTGATATTAGTATTGTCATAGTATATTTATTATTATATAGAATCTGTATTTATTTGTTTATAAAGTTTTTTACCATTTGAAATGGTGTAGCTTAGCCTGTATGGCTCTTATGCCAAATAAATACTTGTCAACCAGCCAATCTACAAAACTTGTGCAAAGGCAATGTGCTTTTATAAGCAAAATAGAAAGTTTTGTCAATTAACATGCATAAAATGTCTGTAATTGTTGCTTTGAGTAGTAAAGATTTATGCTTTCTTAAGTAGCACAGTATGTGCATTATCATTAACAGTTGTACATTTATTACAAAGGAGATGTGAGCATGACAACACTGAAAGAAAAGCAGAATCAAAAAGTAAATGTCTGAGTATGTTTGCAAAGATAGGATACTGAAGTGTCAGCCAACATACAGTTAGTTTTTCAAACAAAGTGGGAAGAATAGACAGGTGTAAAAGTATGTGAACAGTGTGTTGTTGTCCGTGCAATGTAGATTTAAAATTTTAAATCTTCATCTGATGGTTATAATTATGATAAATTTTTTTTTTTTTTTGAAGACAAAGTCCTTCTTAAAAAGAGGAACCACCATTTATTAACTTTGTGTTCCAGACATTATACTTTTGGCAACTGATCTTCCCTTTTAGGCTACTTGCTGCCAAACAGTCCTTTAAAAAAAAAAAAACAAATATACAGTAGAGCATCGATTATCCAACCCCCGATCAACTGTCACATCGGTTAACCAACCGTTCTAGTTGGCAAATTTCAAATGTTTGCTAGTGATGTGGCACTACAATATTTGGCTATATCTTGGCTACTTTAATATTATTTTTGTTAAATGTTTGTCTGTTTTAGCTGGCAACACTGGCTTGACCATGAAAGGGTGACCAGTATTTAAATGAGGCTTAATTTTCTAATTATGAGTGGTTGTTTGTTTTGTGAGCAATAAAATAATTTTTAACGATACAATAGTGACGATTATTATTTTTAAAAAAATTTGTTAGGTTTAATCGATGAAAATTCAACGCGAAGTAGGTTAATAGCGATATACTAATTACATGGAATATACTAATATACTATACTAATAATGTATTTTTTCACACTTTTCGGTTATTCATTTGTTTAGTTATCCGACCAACCCCAGTCCCCAATTGAGTCGGATAATTGATGCTCTACTGTATATCCAATTAAAAATACGAACATTTTTAAAAAACAGGAACTGGTGATGTATGGACATCTTCTATTCTCCATCATACCTTCTTGAGGTTGTTTTGGCTTTTATCTACAACGAAATAGGCGCTGGTAAAATGTAGATGAGGAAATCTGACCCCTGGTGATGATACTTTAAAATTATTTTTATAAATCTTCGTTCGATGGCTATAATTATGATTAATTTTTTTGAAGACAAGAAAAAAAAAGATTTAAAAGTGGATCATGTGTTTAAGAAATCATTACTCACAAATAAAATGAAGAGAGTGCCTTATCTGGGTTGAACATTGACTGGAGCATGGACATTTGGGATTCTGTTATGTTTTCAGCTGAATCCAAATTTAATCTGCAAGGATCTGACAGAAAACACTGTTTTCTGTCAATACTAGCAGTAGGTAAGTATAGAAAAGGCAAGCACTGTTAGTCTTGTAGACAATGTTTCCAGTGAGTTAAATATGAGGAAGCTGTCACCAAATTATTGTTTGTGGAGAAATTTGGACATTGATCAACTCAAGTTTATGCGAAGTATTATGGAAAAAATTCAAAATGCTTGGTTTTCTTTTTCTCACTCATTGGAGATTTTTTATTCAAATCTAAAACCAAACATGAATTTACTGTTTAGATTTTAAATAACTTTCCACGGGAGGCCTAGATCAGATACCCAAGCTGAGATCAGGATTCTTATCTTGCCAACATTATTAAGAACTACTGGCATATTATAGACACAAAAATTGCAAAGAAGAGGCCTGAAAATAAGCAAAAGTATTAGAAGAGTTTGGTATCACAAGCTTGATGTAGAGTAGCTGAAGAAATGCATCCATTCTATACTAGTGCTGCAAAACTGTTATTAAAGATCTCATTTAGTTATAAATTACAGTTCATGTTATGTTTTTTAGGCATATTAGGCACTTTGAACCTTTTCCTTGAGCTTTTATAACTGTGAATGACAAGTTCTTGTGTTATTACTCATTAACAATATTGGTGACTGTGGTGTGAAATTACACTTTTGGTTTAGTATAATAATATATGTAATAAATTGCAGGTTTTTGTTTGTTCTTGGTTTCTTCTCTATATTATGTAATCACAGCTTTATCATTCTACTTTACACATTCGTTGAACAATTTTTGCTAAATATATGATACAATTTTTTTGGTCGCTACTCTGTATAATTTAATAGTATAATTGATTGTTAATATTAAAAATAATTTTGTAGAATTTGTTATAAAATAAATTTTATTTACTAATTTCATAGAACATATTTACAAGATGAGAGAATGGATAAAAAGAAAGAAGAATTCGATATGAGTGGATGGGCACTAGAAACAGTAAAAGTAAGTAATCTGTTTATTTTTATAACTAAAGTAAACAATAAATTATGTAAATATAACATAGTTCTTTACCTAAAACATATTTTCTCATTTTGTGTCACTTTTTGTTTTACATTTGTTTTTCATACTTGATAATATATTACTAATTATATTATTAAACATAATATGCTAATTATATTATGTTTAATAATATAATTAGCATATTATACTTGATAATATATTACTAATTATATTATTAAACATAATATGCTAATTATATTATGTTTATTTGTATTAAATTGATTAATGATACTTTTTTACATTAAGAAAATAGTAGAATATAAATCATACTTTAAATTTAAGCTTAATAAGTTCTCTGAACAACAGATTTTTTATTAATAGTTTATTTTCAATGACTTTATCTTAATACAGTGGAACATCTATATTCGTCATTAATCTATTCCTAAGACCTAATGAATATGGAATATGATGAATATAGAAACAATTTTTCTCATAATAAATAACTGATGTTCAATTAATTAATTTCCATCCTGAAAAAAGTACAAGAAAAAAAATTATGTTTGTAAAACTTTATCTATATTGTACTAAATAAATAGTATAGTGGTAGAAGGGGAAGGACAGTATTATTAATATAGTATTATTGTTTAGAAGAAGACATATCAATTAAAACATTAGGCAATTCCAATTATGATCACGTGGTCTGTTTTGCCGATGATTCAGTAGCACTCGATTTAATAAAGAACTTGTTCTGTGTTGTGTGTTTTTGTCTGCTTTTTAAAACTTTTCTAAAGTAAGCAATTACATTATCATTGAATGTATTTGTATTTTGGTTGACTATAGCAATATTTGGGTGCCACTTTGGAGCGATTGGAACTTGGTTTCTCACATTGATTATTTTTCAATAACTCAACAACATACACAACAACCACACAAAGCAGACTGATTAACTACAGCCAGCTAACATGGCTAGCTGATCAGTGCGGGTGTGCAATTGTAGTGCCACTTTTGGTGTTGGGAATGACAAATATGGAAAAATAAAAAAGTCACCAAAATGTGATGAGTATCGAATATTACGAATATAGAGGTTGACGAATATTTGTAGACTAGAATAGACAGCGGTTTCACTGTATTTGATATATGATTTGTGTTTAGTTTTATAAATTTTTAAAATGCTTCTCAACAATTTCTGCCTTATTTTTTTCTTTTCTTTAATATTATTAATAAGATAAACTTCAAACTTATACAGTTTTTTTTAACATAGCCTTTTAATGTCAGTCAATAAAACCATAAATTCCAAAGTGATTCTGTTAAGCAGATCCTGCTGTCTATTTTGAGCCTACACTCTTGATAATTCTACACACAACTTTACAAGCACTAAAGCATTCAGCAAAATGTCATTAATTTTTTTAAGAAAACATAAAGTATTAAAATTGAAAACATTAATTTATAATATTTACCCAAAATATGACTTTAATGAAAAGAAATGAATAACATGCAATTGCTATTGATTTTAACTTGGAAAGTAGTTGATATGACAAACAGATGAGTTAGAATTTAATGGATGTAAGCCAAATAACTGATGGAAAAGATGATGTAGTGGAACTACTAGAAATTCATTGAAAGAAAATTTATAATGTTATCTTCCTCTTTTCCAATTTCTAATTTCTTCTGTAATTAACTTTGTTTGGACAATTTCAGTGGATAGAAGATGCATTGAATGAACATAGATACAAATATTATTCAAATTTTTTTTCTCATAAATATAGTGAAAAATTATAAGTTGGTATTATATTCAAGTTGCACTTTTATATACAAGGTAATTTTATAAAATTAAATCTTATAACATAGAAAAAGTGTGATTTCATAAATTCCTTATGGTATTTTGGAACAGTGGTGTATCCAATGTCAAATTGTAATAATTATTAAAATAATTTTGCAGTTTTTTTTGTTGATATCTATTCAAGTTTTACAAATAAACAAAATTCACTCATTTTTCTTTGTTTCTGCTGTTGATGAATTAAAATTATTTGAAATGAACATATGATTTTTAATGGTATTAAAAATTCTTTGAATACAAATTTAATGCTATTACAACTCAAATACTGATGCTTTCCCATTTATGATTACATACATGGAATAATAACCAATTTAGTTTGTTTTATCATATCTGTATATTAATGGTTACTGACTGCCTTGTACATGACGTTTTGAGCTATATTATCATAATTATATACAGTGAAACTAATAATAATGTATATGCTTTGTAGCTATATTTCTTGTGTTCTACACTATTTGAAAAATAATATACATTGATTTATTACAAAATTTACCATGTTAGGAATTTATAGGAGTTTGTTATGAGTCTGAATAAGTAGATCGATTACAAAGGGTTTGTTAAATTCTTTATCTTATAAAATGACAAAAGAAATAACTTTTATGAATTAATATTATAGTTAATATAAATTGGGGAAAAACAGATTAAATTATAGAAATCATTTATTTTATTTAACAACGAGTTTAAATTTAAGGCTGATTTTAATCTCAGCAGTTATGTTTGCAATCTCCAGCAGATGGTATTAAAAATTTAATGCTTTTTCTATGGGAAAACTTTTTCCAAAAATTCTCGAAAATGGAAGCAGACAGAATCAAACAGTTTTTGCACTAGAATCATATTTAATTCTTTTATTAATGTGAGGTTCAGAATTTGTGATTAAATTCATTAATTTCCTATAAATTTTTAATTTTCAAAATTCTGAACTGTATGTTAAACAAAGAATTAAATAGGATTCTAAAGCAAAAAGTGTTTCATTTTTGAGAATTTTGGAAAAGGATTTTCCCATAGAAAGAGCATTAAATTATTGACACTGCTGGAGATTGCATGTATAATTGAAGACGTAACAGTCAGCTTTAAAACTTCTAAATATAATTCATGCTCTATAGTTTAAATTTTTTCATTTGTTAAAATTAAAAAAACATCTTAGAATTTAAAGGAAACTGAAAACGTTTCAAAGAATTCAAGCCATATTAATAGATGAATGATGTCTAAATTAAATTTTTAAAAACATTTAAATGTAAAATTTATTTCAGAATGCAGCTGATGTTGAATCATACATTTGAAAATATTTTGTAATAAATACAACTAATAGCTTTTATTTTTATTTTGAATACAAACTAAACAGAGATATCATTTCCAAATTTAAATAAAATAGAAGTTATTTAAATATGTAGATGTTGTTTACAGCATATGTATTCAATGTCACTATCAGAAATGTCAAATATAAATATTTTAAACTATTCTTTATTATGAATTATTACTTATTTTTTATTTTTATAATTAGCAGATTTTACTTTCTTTAATTTCCAGTGACTGAATGCATTTTTGTTTCAGTTTTGTTATCTTAATATTAATAACATTAGAACTGATGTTTGGCGATTTCCTGAGATGGTAGTAGTAAGGTTGCAGCCAAAGTTTTCATCTTTAAAACGTCGAGTGTCGCTATCTTGTAAGTGATGTTTGGCATTCACGTTTTACAGATGAAAACTTCGGCTGCAACCTCTCTAATTTTAACATCATGAAAATTTTTTGATGATAAAATAAATTGTACATTTTAAAATAAAGTTTACATTAAATTGAAAGAAAAGAGTTAAAGTAGTAAATTTTTTAACAGTTAGATCAGTTTTCTAGTGAAAATTTTAAAATGCTTCTCAACAATTTCTGCCTTATTTTTTTCTTTTCTTTAATATTATTAATAAGATAAACTTCAAACTTATACAGTTTTTTTTAACATAGCCTTTTAATGTCAGTCAATAAAACCATAAATTCCAAAGTGATTCTGTTAAGCAGATCCTGCTGTCTATTTTGAGCCTACACTCTTGATAATTCTACACACAACTTTACAAGCACTAAAGCATTCAGCAAAATGTCATTAATTTTTTTAAGAAAACATAAAGTATTAAAATTGAAAACATTAATTTATAATATTTACCCAAAATATGACTTTAATGAAAAGAAATGAATAACATGCAATTGCTATTGATTTTAACTTGGAAAGTAGTTGATATGACAAACAGATGAGTTAGAATTTAATGGATGTAAGCCAAATAACTGATGGAAAAGATGATGTAGTGGAACTACTAGAAATTCATTGAAAGAAAATTTATAATGTTATCTTCCTCTTTTCCAATTTCTAATTTCTTCTGTAATTAACTTTGTTTGGACAATTTCAGTGGATAGAAGATGCATTGAATGAACATAGATACAAATATTATTCAAATTTTTTTTCTCATAAATATAGTGAAAAATTATAAGTTGGTATTATATTCAAGTTGCACTTTTATATACAAGGTAATTTTATAAAATTAAATCTTATAACATAGAAAAAGTGTGATTTCATAAATTCCTTATGGTATTTTGGAACAGTGGTGTATCCAATGTCAAATTGTAATAATTATTAAAATAATTTTGCAGTTTTTTTTTGTTGATATCTATTCAAGTTTTACAAATAAACAAAATTCACTCATTTTTCTTTGTTTCTGCTGTTGATGAATTAAAATTATTTGAAATGAACATATGATTTTTAATGGTATTAAAAATTCTTTGAATACAAATTTAATGCTATTACAACTCAAATACTGATGCTTTCCCATTTATGATTACATACATGGAATAATAACCAATTTAGTTTGTTTTATCATATCTGTATATTAATGGTTACTGACTGCCTTGTACATGACGTTTTGAGCTATATTATCATAATTATATACAGTGAAACTAATAATAATGTATATGCTTTGTAGCTATATTTCTTGTGTTCTACACTATTTGAAAAATAATATACATTGATTTATTACAAAATTTACCATGTTAGGAATTTATAGGAGTTTGTTATGAGTCTGAATAAGTAGATCGATTACAAAGGGTTTGTTAAATTCTTTATCTTATAAAATGACAAAAGAAATAACTTTTATGAATTAATATTATAGTTAATATAAATTGGGGAAAAACAAATTAAANAATTTTGAAACCAAATATTTACAGTTCAATTATTGAACTAGAGAGAGATCAATATAATGATAAAATTGAAATTTTTATCATATTTACTTATTCTTTTTATCTAATACTCACATCTGTGGTATTACATTATTTCTTTTTGTTTTATTATCTGTATTATTTGCTATCCAGTTACACAGATAATTAATTTTGTATAACATTAAATTAGGAATTTATAAAGATTTCTATCATAGTCAAATTACATTTTTAATATAATAATTACACAAAAGTTTGTCTATCCAGTTTCATTAAGTGTCTGAAAATCATTATTTTTACTTTTAAATTATACAATGATTTAACTCAATATAATACACCATTCACTTAGCAGAAAGTAGTAACAAGAAGTTTTATTTCTGGATTGAATGTGAAAAATGATTAGTAACTATAAAACAAACTTTATAATCTTCAATATTCCTTGTCTTTGCATTAATGTGTTTGAATATTTCCATCATGGAATCTGAAGATAGTTGAAAACATGTTAATAAATCTTGCTGGATTTTAAAGGTCCTTTGCTTTGTAGTAGTTATATTTATCTGGTTTAAAGTTTTTCAAAGAATGATTACTTAGAATTACTCAGTTAAACTTTAAATTCCCTTTCCAATAACATAAAGTTTTTGTATAAAACCTGTTGAAAAGAGTCTTCTATGAATTAGAATGTATATCATTAATACATAGATTCAAGTAATATAGACCAAACTCTTTTAATGAATGTTAAGTTGTAAAAATTTTGTCTTTCTATTCTTATTTCTGAGAATAACCATAGATTGATTGCTTTTAAAGTTATTTGATATATTATACTATTTATTATTTGTTTTGTAGGTTATTTTGGAAGTATCTAAATGTTTTTGAAGTCTTAATTTTCCTTATTTGTTTTCTTTGGTTCATTTATTTAGATAATAGACAATTTAAATAGCTTCCTGGATATGGCTTAAAGAAGTAACATAAAATAATGTTGATATTTTAGTTTCTCGATTTTATTGTCAGAGATTTTACTATGAGGGCTGTTTAAAATATTGAAAAATCCCCTTGGAATCCATTGAAAAATTTTGAATAAGTCCATTTTGTGTTTAGCCACATCCACAATGGAGAGCTGGGTGGTCAGAGACAAAGTTTAACATATCAGCCAAAGTTTACTTCATTAATTTAGCAACAAATGGTATAAACTGCTATACTGTACTATTTATGTTTATTTTCTTTATTATAGAAAGTATATTTTACTTATTTTTATATTCAAAATAAACAGAAAATAATATATTATCAGTTCTCATGTCATTTTTAAATTTGATTTTATTCAATTTGTTTATTTGTAAACACAGAAAACAAAATTAAATATGTGAAGTATCTTAATTAAATTTTTTAAGTTCCTAATGAGAATTTTTTGCAGAATATACCTCATCAAATGAATGGAAGTGATTGTGGAATGTTTGCATTGAAATATGCGGAGTATATAACGAGAGATGCAAAAATTAATTTCACACAGGTTAGTAAAAAATAAATATTAATCATATATAAATCTGTAGAAAGAAACCAATTTACAAAAATATAAAATGTTAGATTTTAACAGTTTAGAATTACATTTATTGTAGATTTACAGATTCTAATTTAAGATTAAATATTACGAGACAAATTAAAACAAATTACTATTTTGTGAGAGACTGTGTAAAAGTACAGGGATTTATTAGTCCAAGAGACACTAATTGGTTCCTTTCTGTAAAAATTTGATTTAGTTTTTATTTTTAAAATATTCGAATAGTAAATAGAAGGTTCTAAGAAATCTGAAACAAAGTTTGTTCCGTAGGGTCATATGCCTTATTTTCGCCGGCGAATGGTTTACGAAATTTTGAAGAAACAGTTATTGTGATGAACGTCAAATCTACGACGGTCCATACATGAAATTATTATTTTGCCACTTGCAAAATAAAAATATAACCCCACCTCCACGAGGTTCCAGATTTTTATATTTACATAATCATTACTTAGGAGAATTTTACTAGTATGATGTGAAGTTATCATTATGTGCGAATGAACATCCGAGAATTCATTTACATTGTAAAACCATAATTTAAATTAAATGCCATTCATACAAGAAATGTCATAAAAGTTGCATGGAAAAAAAACTCGTAATTTCATAACTGTAATTATGGTAAATCTTCATTTCCTTAACTTTTCTTTTTAATTTCCTGGCATAGAATTTATAATTTGCGATATTCAATTAATGATTACCATCTTATAAAGAGGTAAATGGATATAATGATTTAACTGAACGAAATTTAGTATTTTAAAAAAGAAAATTGCATTGTTTTGAATTACGATCTGTTAAAAATGCCTTTTTTTCCCATACAGTTTTAAAATGAAACATTGTAAATTGAATTGTTATTTTCTTCATTTTGAAAAGTCTATTATTGTACATATGTATTACAATATCAAATAAGTTTGTGTATTAAAAATTCTGAATTGATAAAAAAAAAATTTCCAGTTTGTTATGAAATTAAATCCTAAAATAATTAAATATACAATTACAGTAATATAATTGGAATTGATTTAAGAAGAAATAAATTTTATGCTTGAAAACATTAAGAATTTTCATAACTGAAACATAAGCGCATAATTTTACATTCAAGAATAATTACAGTCATCCTAACATTTTTAATGTTTAATAAATTTGTGTAATTCGGTGGTTCTCGACCCGTGTTCCGTGAAAATGTAATGAAGTCTTTAAAATCATTTTAAGTTTATTCCGACACACTACAACATATTCCTTTANAGCGTCGTAGACAGATTTTTTTTGTTTTTTTTTTTTTAAAAGTCTGTCAATTAAATCCTAAAATAATTAAATATACAATTACAGTAATATAATTGGAATTGATTTAAGAAGAAATAAATTTTATGCTTGGAAACATTAAGAATTTTCATAACTGAAACATAATCACATAATTTTACATTCAAGAATAATTACAGTCATCCTAACATTTTTAATGTTTAATAAATTTGTGTAATTCGGTGGTTCTCGACCCGTGTTCCGTGAAAATGTAATGAAGTCTTTAAAATCATTTTAAGTTTATTCCGACACACTACAACATATTCCTTTATTCGCAGAGAATTCCAGGTTTTGTGTTGCTTCGTTCTTCGCAAGAATGGTAAATACGGAATTGTGTGCGGAGTTTTGAATATACTGATGCTAATTCCCTAAATAGTAGAGTACACGAATGCTGTTCTGCCCCTCAGAAAGGTTCAGAACCATTAATTTATTGTATTGATAACAGTGGATATTTCTGATATTATGTAAATATCATAATTATTTTTAAAATATTAATTGAAATCAGGAAATTTATTACCGTTTGATCAGATATTAATTGATATTTTGAGAAACATGATCATCATATTAAATCATTAATATGATGATCATGTTTTCTTTAATATAGATCTAGATGTAGTTGTATGGATGAAATAACAGTGAATGAGATATAATTGTGTTTTAATGATGTATGAATGTAATTTTGTGTTAAAAATAATGAATTTTTAAGCCATTAAATATAATTTTGACACAATTTACTGATTGATTTCCTTGTTACACCAATCTGTTAGTATATTCTATTAACTTCTGGCCAAACAAGGCCAAATGGATCAACAATTTCTTTCTCAATAGTTTAAACAGAATATTGGTAGCGGATTTATAGATAAGAATGCTCAATATAAACGTTTATTTACATAAAACAAATTAAAAAAAAATTAATTTACATCAGAATATGTACAAAAAGAAAAATATGTCTTGAAAGGAGCGTAGAATCGTTGGATGTAGCAAGTGACCGTTCACTAACTCGAGCCAAACGAACAAAACAACTATGAGTCAGTTTTGTACGGACGGCTCAAGTCAGCTAACGGCAAATAATTTCCAAATTCGGCAACCCCCCGAATCGATACCACGTTGATAAGGGGGTGGAGCTTGCCTACGTGATTCACGTCGATTCCGTGACGTTCTCTCTGACACGCGGACGTCCCGCATATAATAATTGTTGATAGCAGATGGTGTCGGTTTTGCGGCAACACACGAAAAAATAAAACAACCCGCATTTTGTCCAGGTAACAGGAAGAATTGAGCAATTCGACTGTATCGAATTTAAAAATAGGTTAAAGTGTCGAAGCGGTGCATTAAAAAAAACGATCCGGAATGTATAAAAATCGTGTAAATATACACTAAAGTTGACATTTATCGCCATGCGCGGCCACCCTACAAAAGACGTTGTTGTCTGTAGAAGGGCGGATTCTCTTTCGTACACGTACACGTACAGTGAAGACTGATTTACAGGATTGCATACTAAGTTAAAATTTTAAAACCGTATTCTTAAAAATGGAAACGGAGCATGCTGTCACCAGGGTAACACGGCAGTTTTTTAAAAAAAGCAGAAAACATTAAATTTATTTATTTTATTTTAGTTTTTTTAGGGAATTAATAGAGAGATGATATAGTTTTTAATTGGGAATATGTTTTAAGGGGGCAATTTGAAATGGGTGAAGTAGATTGATTTAAAATTTTTCGTGGTAGCGTACGTCAATGATTATGCGCTTCTGAAATTATTATTTACTAAAAATGAGAGAAAATTATTAAAAAAGTCAAATATAACAAGCATTTTTGTAAGAGAAGATCGAGTGTAGAATTTCAATATGAAAAAATTATGAGTAGAAACAAACTTGTGTTTAATGTTTTAAAAACGCATTAATTAATAATAATAAATGAGAGTAAAAGCGCTGTATTTTTCGTAAAATTAATAGAAAATTGGTTAAAATTTAACTAATTTTTTGTATACTTTGAGCACTGTCAGATATACAACCGCACCCTGAAGTACAATACAAGCTCGTAATTGGATATTTGTGTTTGTACATTTTGTATAGCGTCGTAGACAGACTTTTTAAAAGGGCACAATATATATAGTCTATTAGGCGATACAGTATTTACAAATATCCAATTACAAGCTTGAACTTTAGTTTATGGTTGTATGTCTGAATGTAAAGTGTACAAAATTAATTAAGATTTTTCTGTTAATTTTAAGAAAATTAGTTAAATTTTAACTATTTTTAACTACTTTTAAGTATAGACACGCAACCACACCCTGAAGTACAAGCTTATAATTGAATATTTGTGTGCATATAGAGCGTCGTGGACAGACTTTTTTTTAAAAAAAAAGAGCGTAATATTGATGTAAAAAATCCTTTATTTTTCTTATTTTAACTAATTTTGTGTACTTTAAGCATAATCAGACACAACCGCTAGCCGGTAATTGAATAATTGTAAGTGATGTGTGTTTTTGTAGAGCGTCGTAGACAGATTTTTTTTGTTTTTTTTTTTAAAAAGTCTGTCTACGACGCTAGATAAGGTATAAAGTTTAGTTAAGATAGAAAATCTACTTACCTAGAGTAATTGCGATTTAATAATCCCTTCGGTAAAGTCAAAGTTTAAATCAGACCCGGGCTGTGGTCCGGCGTGTTCGATTTGGGGGGAGACCACTCCCTGGAGGAAGGGTGTGACCAAATCGGCGTAACAGCCGAAAGGAAACACGCGAGTTGTCAGAAAAGAACGGCAGAATAAACCACACCCAGCAATACTCCAGTATCGGCGGCACATGGCCCTCTTATTCCATTCATCCATCATTAGGTGCGCGATCGGTACGAAAAACTTCGTCTTACCTCTTCCACCGTTTTCAACTTTTCTCCAATTGCAGACCAACTTTTAAAACCGCGACTCCTACCGTCGAGCATGCGCGCCAATGGTTTACCTACTATCTCTTTTAATAAAAGAATATTTTAATATTTACTCCTATCGCCGCTTTTACTGTCTAATTAATAATAATTACGGCTTTAGATTGATTAATTAAATACATAAAATTTAATTAAGCCATCCTTTAAAGTTTCGCATCGAGCAGACGACTTTTTAGTCAAATTTTTCTCACTGGTGTACGCATGCGCCGTCCTAAAGGTAAATAATAATATAAAAAAATTTTATTTTATTTATTATTGAGTGATTTTTAGTAACTTAATTGTTCATTTATTATAAATTTTATTACGATTAATTCTCGCTTTTCTTCTGATCTTAATTATTACTTTTTTTTTAAAATTTAATAGTCGTCTGCTTTAAAATTAAAGCGAAGTTATTTTATACGCATGCGCAGTTCTAAACTTTTTAAAATTGAGATGATTATATTTGGATTTTAATCGAAATTAATTAATTAATAACTGTTTTTTTAATTAATTAGAAATTTCTTTTATTATAATAATTTTTTTTCGCAGGCGGCGCATGTGTCGTTTAAAAATCAATACCATATTAATTAATATGGCGCTTATTACATAAAAATGTGAATATTTATTAAACAATTAAAATTATTAAAATCTGTTATTTTTAAGTGAAATTAATTTTTTTAAATAAATAATAAAATATATGAATTTTTTAAATTACATTTTAAACGGTAACTAATATATGATATAATTTGTAGAACAGTTAGAAGTATTTTTTTTTTTTTTTTTTAAT